TGTAAGAGGGAACTGGGCTGGCCCAAGTCCCAGGGCCAGACCCCATGTCCTCCCAGCCTCTCCCTAGAGGATGGTTACTCATTTACCACAAACACCCAAATCCCCACCATTCTGTGTTCAACTTGCTCACCCCTTAGTCCTGGGAAGTGACCTCCTGGCCCTTCCATGTGATGGATATCCAGAAACCAAAGGTTCCAGAATATTCCCTTGACCATCCTCCCTTCCAACTACCATTACAGTGCAGGTGGCCACCATCTACCTGGGCTGTGCCAGTTGTCCCTCCCTAGTCTCTTGGCTTCTGGCTTTGCTCCACTCCACTCATCATGGTCAGAGAAAAAAAATTTAAAAGATAGAAAGCCATATCATACTCCTGCTCAAAACCCTCTAGGACTCCCCATTCATAGTAGAATAAAATCCCTCCTCCTCAAATGTGGCCCATAAGACCTCGTATGATCTGACCTTTGCCCACCTCTTGCCCTCACTCACTCTGCTCTTGTCACACTTGCCTCCTCCCTGTTCCTGAACTAGCAAGCTTGTTCCTGTCCCCAGGCAGAAACTTGCTGTTCCCTTCGCCCGAACCTTCTTCTGTCGGATATCTTTCTGGCTCACTCTCTCACTTCATTCAGGTCTCTGCTCAACTATCATCCGCTCAGAGAAGACATCCATGACCTGCCCGCCTAAAATGCTCCCCTCCATCACCACCTATCCCTCGACTGACTTTATTTTCCTTCACTGCAATCATTTCTATCTGACTGTTACATCTTATCAGTACATTTGTTTTATCCTAAAGTTTGCTGCTAAATGTTTAACCACTGGCTCTCGGCAAGGGGGCAGTTCTGATGTTTACATTTGCTAATTTCCGTGGTGTACACACTCCCACCAAGGCCGATTTCAAGCCGCCAACATGACTCACTGAACGTGAGATTGGGAAGAGGTGGGCAGCGGCACACAGTTCTGTACTATTTTCACCTTGTAATATGGTCTGTGATACAATATGATATAGTCGATGTCAATAACCTCTAGAACATAGACAATAGTAAAATAGAAAGTGATGAGTTTTGAGTAGTTGTTACCTTCATTTTTATTATAATTATTGACTTGTAAGTTCGTGTAATTTAATTTCTAAATGATGGCCGTTTAGAACAGGCAGTTTGCAGAATCCGTGAGCCAGTGTGAGCCAGCTCCAGCACACCACCGGATGTAGGCAACATGGAGACAGGAGGATTGTCCGTCTCGTTCCCTGCTGCTCCCTAGACTAGGAGGAGGAGCCCACAGTAGGTGCTCAGCCGGTATTTGTTGAACATGTTGTAATGCATCTGTTTGCCTCAGAAAGCACAAACTGTTCGCCTCCATCACCTTGGCTCTGTGGGCTGAGTCCAGCCCACAAATGGGTTTCATTTGGCTCTCGGAATGTTTTTAACATTTAAAAAAAAATGTGTTGCCAAAATTTAAAAGTCAAGAGATTTTTGCATGAAATCCCACATAAACCTAGATTTGCAGCCTCTCTTGAAAAGTCAGAAGCTCTGGGCACACTGGGCCCGATTCTCTCATGATGACAGAGGTCAGGCTGAGCGGCGGTCACCCCCTTCAGGCAGGGCGCGAGCTTGCCCAGTTCACCACAGTCCCCACCCCTCCCTGCTGCCTCACACCAGACTCTCTTCATTCATTTACCGCTGGGCCCTGCAGAGATTTGAGTTGTCATTGCCATCTTAGCTTCCATTCTAACTCTTGCCATGGTGTCCCCACCAGATTGAGGCCATCTTGAGGACAGGCTCTGTGAATTAAGCCGCCTTGGGGCTCCATGCCTTCTATAGGGTCGGGCACACAGTAGGCCCACAGGCTCTGGAATTGGCTTAAAAGGTTGTTGTTGAACTGCCCAGCTACCCTAACTGCCGCGTGCATTCAATCCAAGCCCTGACCAACCGGAATGTAACAAAGAGGTTGGCCAAGGCCAGGGTTTAAAAATACCCCAGGGCTGGTCAGCTGCAAGCACTCGGAGGTGTTGAAACGAGTGGGCAAAGTCTGGCTAGAGGCCAGACCCCCGACTTTGTGTGAATGTGGGCCACCAACAGTTCCTGGTGGGGGTGAGGAGACTGGGCTGAGCCCCACTCCCACTGGCCTGCTTGGGAAAGGTCAGCACTAAGTTTATAAACAGCATCGGGTGACATGACACGGTTTTGCATAAAGGGTTACCGGGCAGAGCATGAACGCGGGGCGGCCTCCCCTGGTGTTTTCACGCCGTGGTCAGCTGGGGTTGTGACTGGGGGATGTTGCTCACCTGGTGGTCTTCCTACGGCCTTTCAGAGCCGCTGTCCAGCCCGCTGGAGCCACAGTTAAAAATAAGGCTCACAGCACAGTCCCCTGGGGGACAGCTAGCATGGGGGGAGGAGGGGTTGGCCACGGGAGGAACAAGCTCTGATTGAGTGCCTACTGGGTGCCAGGCGCTTCAGAGGCATTAGCTCACCGAGCCTTGGGAGGGAGGGATCATCATTCCATTTACATGTGGGGAAACTGAGGCTGGGGAGTGCGGCCACTCACAAGTATAAAGTTCCCTGGTGAATTCGTGGCAGTCCTGGCATTCGAATTAAGAATGTTAAGAAGTCGGAGCTCCGTGTGTCACTCTGCTGGGCCCCGAGTCCCTGGAATTGTGCCAGCCTTAGCCAGCTCTCAGAGCAACTCCCACTGAACGCATCCAAAACCTGCTCCTCGCTCTGGCTTCCCAACGGAAGTCCTCATGAAGCTGACATGTTGGAGTTGGGGGCGGAGAGGTAGGTAAACATTAATAGGTAAATTAAATATATTGTGTTTCAAATGGCAGTTAAGTACTAAGGAGAAAAATAAACCAGGCCCAGCCGCTGGGGCTCAGTGGTTGAGCATCGACCCAGGTTAGATTCCCAGTCAGGGCACATGTTGACCCAGAGGTCACTGGTTCAATTCCTGGTCAGGGCACATGCTCAGGTTGTGGGCTCGATCGGGGCATGCAAGAGGCAGCTAATCGATGATGTTTCTCTATTGATGTTTCTCTCTCTCTGTCCCTCTCCCTTCCTCTCACTCTAGAAATCAATAAAAACATATTTTTTAAAAAATAAACGAATAAACCAGGAGGGAGATGGAGAGCCTCGGAGAGGCACAGATCTAAACGCGGGAGGCAGGGGAGACCTTGTCGAGCAAATATTTGAGGACAGACTTGAAAGACGTGAGGGATTGAGCAATGGGGGTAACTGGAGGAAAAGCATTCCTGGCAGAGGAAGAGCAAGTGCAAAGGCCCCGAGGCTGGATTCTGCCTGGCATGTGTGATGATGTGTGATGGCTGGGCAGCCTGAGGGAGGGCCACCTGGGAGGAAGTGAGGGTAGAGACCAGGGGGCAGATCGTGCAGCATCTTAGGCGTCACTAGGAGGACCTGGGCTTTTCTCTGGGGTAGATGGGAGCCATGGAAGGTCCTGAGTGGAGGAGAGCATGGTCATCTCGGTTCTGAAAGAACATCTGACTCTGTGTGGGAAATGGACTGTCAGGGGCAAAGAGGGAAGGGGACAACCAGAGATGAGGTGACTGCAATGGTCCAGGCAAAGGATGATGGTGACTGGGCCCCGGGGGTGGCTGGGAAGGTGGGGAGAAGGCCATGACCCTACCTTCTGGATGGGTTTTGGAGGTGGAGCTGACAGGACACACTGCTGGACCACGTGTGATAAAAATCAAAAATCACGATGACTCCGGTCCAGGCTGAGCATCTCTGTGCTCGGAGATGCCCGAGCACGATGCCGGCTCCCACGGAGGACGGATGTGGAGCAGCTCCCCCCCCCCCCCCACCAGGGCCACGTGGGACCTGCGCAAAGACCTTCCCCAATACGACGGACCTTGCTTTCTGAAATCCCTCCTGGTTCAGATCGGGGTTTCTCCGCAGGTCTCCCGTTTCATCCTTGGCCCCGAGTGCCTTGTAAATTGTAGAGAAGCCACCAGGTCCTCTCCCCAACCCTGAAGAGCAGCAGACATTCTGTAGCCCCCACCATGTGCCTGGCAAGATTCTAGCCTTTGCATTTGTGCGCTCATTTGGTCATCACAACAAGTTGAAATGTGGGAACTATTATTACATCTGTCTCATGAATGGAACAACTAAGGCCCAGAGAGGGTAAGTCACTGTCTGGGATCATAAGTGGCAAAGACAGGATTTGACCTCAGACAGTCATGCTCTGAACCACTCTACTGTCTCCTGAGAAGCTCACCATTGACCGTGAAGAGCCAAATTGGGCTTAAGGGATTGGGGTAGAGGGAGAGGGTTCACATAGTAGGGGCAGTTGTCACTTTCTGAGCATCTGCCCATGGCTAGGGCTGTACCCTGCTCTTTCCATTCTGCACATCAACTGAAGGGGTGGGTATTATGATGATTGCACCCATTCTACACATGAGGAAACTGAGGCTCAGAGAGAAGTGCCCATGCCCAAAGTCACACAGCCACGCATGAGGACCCAGGGTTCTGGGGCTCCAGACCTCATGCTGTCCCTTCCTCCACGCTTCCTGTGCTTGTCACCTGCTTCTTGCCTTGGTAGCGAGGGGAGTGCTCAGGGGTTTGAGGGCCAAGATGAGTTCTCCAACTGGCTGACAGAGGATAAGGAAACAGGCTGAGGCTGAGGCTGGAGGGAGGTCATTCAGGAACAGCACAGCTCTTTGGGCTTGTGAATTCTGTCCAGTGCCAACATTGCTGAGGCCAGCCCCAGGGCCGGCGCGGGGACACTGAGGCAGGGGCGTGCAGCTGAGTGTGTGAGAGAGAAGGAGCCTCTGGTTGCCTCTGACGGCATAGGAAGTGGTGGCGTTGTCATCAGAGTTCAGATCAAGAGCAGCTCAGGGGATAAGGTGCTCGTGAACCTTTTACCTTGATCAGCCTCTTTCCCTCCCCAAACCTCAGTTTCCACCTCTGTGAAATGGGTTGATAATGCCTGTGATAACCAAAGCTGGGTGCCAAGGGGGTTCCCTTCTTCTTCAACTGTTCTCGACTGTCTTTCAGGACAGGAAGAGCACAGGACCCCGCACATCATAGGTGTTCTGGGGCCCCCGAGCCTGCTGGACACATGAAATAAACCTAAGGAACATCTTTGGGCCTTATTTTCTGCACCTGTGACCTCAATGCTCTCCACCGACATGTACACAGAACCTCTCAACCGCGTGGTGAGGTGAGCACCAAGACCATCTTCACTGTAAGAAGTTGATGCTCAGAGAGATTGTGAGACTTGATCAAGGCCACGGAGCTAGGAGGCGATGAAGCAAGGATTACCTGACTTCCTCTGCCTCCTCAGCATTAGTTCTTCCATCACAAGGCTCACATGATAATAGCTTGAGTTTTGTTGAGTACTTACTCTGTGCCACGCACCAGTCCAGGCACTTGACCTGTATGAGCTAATACTAATCTGGATCTCAAATGTATGAGACAGGTGCTATTTTCTTCCCATTTTATGCATGAAGAAAGCGGTTTAGTAAGTTATACAGGGTCACAGAGCTAGTAGTTTACAAAACCAGGGCTCAGACTCAGGCTGCCTGGCTCCAGAGTCCATGGTCTCAAACCACAATGCTCTACTTGAGAGACTCAGCAGTGAGTCCCAGCACAGTGCCTGGCTCACAGACGGTGCCTAATAAATTGTTAAACCTCTGAAAAGCATGTAGAGATAAGCAGGGCTTTCCTATTCTAAATCACACGGAGGGCTCGCTTGAGAATTCACTGTTCTTTATTTCCGTCCCTTCCTGTTGGGCCCGTTGGCTAGAGGAGAAGCCGCCCCTGGGCCATTTTACCCCGGTCCCCCTCCCTGTGGAAAAGTTCTGTGCCGCATCCAGGGGTCATGGGGCTGCTGGCGAGAGGGCTGGCGAGAGCAGAGTTTGGCCAGGTTATCAGGTTTCGTGGTCAGCCACCTTCGCCCCTGACCAGAGCTGTCTTTCCAAAACAGAACATTTAGTCACCGCCTGTCCCTGTGCTCAGCTGTCCTTGTGCCCCTGACCTCGCTTCCTGCCCACCCGCCCGGGATTTTTCCTAGTATCCTTGTCTCTTACTGACATCTCGCGAGGAGGACCAGAGCCGAGAAAGAGAGTCAGAGAGGAACTGAGAGGCTGAGAGAGACAGTGAGAGAATCTGAGACTCAGACTCTGACAAAGGCACAGGGAGAGACTGAAGGAGGAGGCAGCCAGGCAGAGATGGAGAGACCGCGGGAGCCCTGCAGATGCCCTCTGAGGCTCCTCCGAGGGCAGTGTCCACTCCCGTGGGTCTCCTTCCAATGGGTCTTGCCTTCTCTCCCGGCTGCAGCACCTCCTCCCCCCACTCCTTCCTCGGCCCAGCAGATAACCAACCGGAGATACCCCACCTGTCCTCACCTGCACAATTTCTCACCTAACTCCTGCTCGCCTGCTCCCTCCAGGAAGCCTTCCCTGCTTCCACAGCCCCTCCGCCTACCCCACTGTGCGGTTGTTGATTATTTATGGGTTTGTCTTCTCCACTGGAATGCCAGCTCCTTGAGGGCAGGGGTGGGGTCTGTATTGCTCATCCCTGAACCCAGCACAGTACCTGACATGGTGCTCAATAAATATTGGCTGGATGAAGTACTAAACCAGCTGTTTACACAGCACCTTAAAGAAACCTGCCCTGATGGTGCTTATAGCTGTCTGTTTCCTTGCGTGAGTCATTGATTTAGGGTCTGTGTCCCCGCTGCTCCGGGGAAGGCAGAGTCTATGTCTGTTATGTTTACCCTGGCTTCCCAGGTGCCTGGAACAGAGTAGGTGCTCAGATATTGGTTGAATGAATGCATAAGCTATCTGGAGGTTTGGAATCTTGTGTTTTAATCCCTTTGAACCCAGCTCAAATGCTCCCAGCTCAAATGCTCCCCATTTGAATCAAACCCGAGTCCTTCCCAAGGCCCAGGAGGCCCTACCTGATGGGGCCCTGGCCCCATCTCCGGGCCAGCCTCTGCCTTTATCTCCGTCCCCTCCCACTGGTACCAGTGTCCTCGTTCCCCGGGGCACTGGGCACGGTAGACACTCTCGGCCCCCTCTGCGCCCCACCATAAGTGTGCCAGCAGGCTTGTTGTTTTCTGTGAACAAGACTGCCTGGAACAGCGGAGCACATTTGTACAAACAACCTCAATGTCACCAGTGGACCTTGGTCACTGTGGGACGGTCTCCAAGGTTCACCCGGCCGGCTGCCCAGGGCCTTGCCCCGAGACAGGGTTGGAGTTCTCTCCTCACAAGGGCCGGCTGGGGGTTGGGGGGTGTCGTGGGGCCGCTGAGTCTGACCTTCACGTTGGGAAAGGGAAGGGATGCAAACTGGTTGTGAGGTCCACCTTCAGGCTCGGACCAGGCCCCACCTCCTCCAGAAAGCTCCCTTGGCCACCTTCCTCGTTTCTATGCACCCCTGCCCTCTCGCTAATTGCAGCTCATATCACATCCTGCTGAAGCTCCCCACTGGCCTTGCTCCTCCACTGGACTGTGCTCCGGGTGGGTAAGGCCAAACCCTCCATCTCGGGGTCCCCAGCGCCCAGGCTTTGGGAGGCATCAGCAGATGTGCTGAACGAGTGAGATGATGACGGAACACGCGCTTCCTGGCTGGTTCATATTTACTTCTGTCTCTCGTTAGAATGGGAGCCCAAGGACCTCGCGCCTTCATCTTTGTTCCCCGGGGCCTAACACAGCTTGACACATCGGCGGCAGCAGGGAATATGAGTGGAAGAAGTGAATGAATGAGTCCTTGCCCTCCATCATGGTTGCCTCTCCCACTGTTCAGGGAGCTCTCTGGTGTCAAGGACCACGTCTTATTTGTTTCAAGTGCCTCTGAGTCCAGCATAGGGTTTCCGAAAAGGAAATAGTTGACAGGTGTTTATTAGATGAATAAATGGTGGAGGGGTGAAAGGGTAGGTGGATTGATGATGAATGTGGATGGTTGGATGATTGGATAGATGGATGGATGGATGGATGGATGGATGGATGGATGGATGGATGGACAACTAGCTGGGCACATCAGAATCAATTTAAGAGCACACACACACGTGTGTGCTTACTGTACACCAGGCCCCATGCTCAGCCTGCAGTGCAGGGCATTCACTAAATCCTCCTGGCCACCGCCTGAGATAGTAACTAATGCTGCTCTTTTTTCAGAGGACAAACCTGAGGCTCAGAGAGATAACGTCACTGGCCCCAGGTCACACAGCCAGGAGGTGGAGGAGCCAAGATTCGAGTCAAGATCTGTTTGATTCCAGAACCAAGGCTGCCTTAGTGGGCCAGTGGAGCACCCGGGACTCTGGCTTCTTCGGCGCTCCCCCTGTGATTCTGACGTGCAGCCTCGGCCAGAGCAGTGAGGTGTGGGGAGAACATCTGGTTTGGGGCGTTCAGGCTCCAGTACTGCCTCGCAGCCTGTTTCCCCATGTGACATGGGAGCGATGGCAGCGCTTGCCCTGGGGGGTTCCGGAGCATGGAGTGATCTAAGTAGAGTGCCTGCGGGGCGTAAGCACTGGGGGCCGTCCTGCGAGTGTGCTGGCAGCAGCAGCATTGCCACTGGGCTGGGGGCCGATGGCCGTCCTGCTCCTTCTCACAGCTCCCCTGGGTACAGGCATGTCAGCCTCCTAGTTGAGAATTTGAGACAAGCTGGAGAAGACCTCTTGGGGCATTCAAGAGCCACAGCATCTGAGTGCAGACGCGACTCTGGAAATACATCTTGCAGGAGTACACGTGTCCACAGACGTGTGGCCAGGTGACCACTACTGTGCAAAAGCCAGGAAGCAAGCCTGATCGTGGTAACAACCGATGTGTATTTAGAGCAGGTTTTCTCAACTCAGACGCATGAAATTTGAGGCCAGATAATTCTTTGCTTTGTGCGTGTGTGGGAGGTGGGGTTGTCTGGCCTGCACTGTAGAGTGTTTAGCAGCATCCATGGCCTCATCCACTAGATGCCAGTAGTCCCCCCACCCTTAATTGACAACCAAACATTTCTCTAGACCAGCGGGTCTCAACCTATGGGTCGCGACCCCTTTGGCGGTCGAATGACCCTTTCACGGGGGTCGCCTAAGACCATCCTGCATATCAGATATTTACATTACGATTCATAACAGTAGCAACATTACAGTTATGAAGTAGCAACAAAAATAATTTTATGGTTGGGTCACAACATGAGGAACTGTATTTAAAGGGCCAGAAGGTTGAGAACCACTGCTCTAGACATTGCCAAATGTCTCCTGGGGGACAAAACCATTCCCAGCTGAGAACCTCCGGTTTTGCGCTTGATCTGTGCACGTGTCTTACCCTCGCCACCTCCTCCCAGCCCTCCTCACACCTGGAGATGGATGCTGTCTGTCCTTCCACTGTGCAGATGCAGGGACAGGGACGTTAGTGGTCTGACCAAGGTCACGTTGCTGGCATTTCAGCAAAGCCGAGACTCGAACCTGTAATAAGCCAGATCTCTCTTTTTCTAGTCGCTTTCTGTGGGCTCCTTGGACTTCATTCACAGTCATGCCTGAGACTAGAGATAATTTCATTTTGTCTCTCCCCATCTGGCTGCCTTGGCACAATTGAGGACAGAACTTGCATGGCACAAATTATAGCTGCAGTAGATTCTGTGATCTGCACAGAGACTTTCTTTTGGGGAGTTAAGTTTGCTCACTTATCGACAATTTGGAAAATATAGAAGAAAGAGAAAAACATGAAATTTGTTATTGGACTGCCCACTAAGGCCAACTTGCTAGCAGTTTTGTCCTCTGAGTAGCTTTCTCTGCTTTGAAATTTTGTTACACTGTTGCAATTACACTTCATATACAATTTCAAATCCCACTTTTCCCAAACTATACAAGATCATATTTTCATGTTACTACAAAATCCTCTTCGACATTATTTTTAATTGTTGCCTATTGTGGTAGAGACCCCTGCTTCTCCCCAACTCTCTCATCTTTCCCTTTTCTTTATTAACAGAAATCCCATGCCCATTTGTTTAAGCATGTGCCCACCCTGAAAAAAAAACACCAAAAACTACATTTCCCACACTCCCTTGCAGTTAGGTGTGTTCATGTGACTAAATTCTAGCCAATGGAATATAAGTAACTTCTAAGTCGTGTCCTCGGGGAGAGGATACCTGCTCTTCTTTCCATCCTCCTTGCTGGCTGGAATGCAGATGTAATGGCCAGAACCTAAGAGGCTATTTGGGGCTATGGTGGAGCAACAAGAGAAAAGGAACCTGAATCCCTGATTAGTTTATGAAGTCATCCACTAGCCTGGAGTGCCGCCTCCACGTTTCCTTTACATAAGAGAAAAGCCAACTTCTATTTTATTTAAGCCCCTGTTACTTTGATTTCACAGTCACTCCAAGATGAACCTAATCCTGAGCATTGCACTGATATTTTGCCAGGGGAATCGTCACTCACATTCTTTGGGGATTATCACTTAATTAACGAAACCATTCCTTGGTCAGTGGGCATTTAGGTCGCTTCTGACTCCTCACTATAAATAACTCTGTTGTGAACATCTTTGTGCATTTTCATTATTTCTGATTATTTCTCACTACAGAATTCCAGAAAAGGGATTTGGAGGTCAAAGAACGTGAGCATCCTAAATAGCCGTTAATGCGTGTGACCTAACTGCTTTCCAAAGTGGCATGCATGCCCCCCTTCCCCAAAGCAGGGGAAGTGGGGCTCCATGGCGGAGCCAGGGTAACAATTCTAACATTCAAAACCTTTGCCTCCAGTCACCAAGGTGGAATCATGGATAGTCATTTTCTAATAGTTCTTGAATAAAAGAGGATGATAAGAAATAATTGGCCATGAAGCTGAAGAACCTAGAATGATCTACTGCCAGTCAGGAGGGTCTGAGTTGCAAGCAGTAGAAGCCACCACTTGGCTATTTTCCAAGGTTATGGGGTGGTTCTTAGCATGAGACCCAGGATTTATGGACGAGCTGCCCCCGCGAGCCTGCTCTCTCCCAGTGGGCCCCTCCCACTGCACCGTCCAGGGCCGGGCCCAGCTCCTCCCCAGCTCTTGTCCAGTGCTTCTTGTCTGATTGCACACCTCTGGCAGCATGTCTGGCCGATGAAGCCCAAGTCCCACGCCTGCACCAACCTGCAAGGGAGGCTGGGAAAGCGAGTTTTCTGGCATCTTCCTTTGGAAGGTATAGCTACTAAGGTAGGAGCTTCCCTGAAGGAGGTATGCACGGTATGGAGCAGCCAGAAAGTAGGGCAAAGCTTAGCGCCCAAGTAAAGACGCTGGGCTTGTGGGAGAAATCCAAAAAGGTTTCTGGCCTCACTTTTTTATTTCTCTTCCACTTATGGTGAAAGAATAGCAGGGAGAAGTAAAGACCACTAGGCTATCATCCTCATGTGTGTCTCCCTTGCAGTTTACCCAACTAGGCAAATGCTGAGTTAGAGCTGGGAACCCATGTCCCTCAGGCCCTAAGCCCTGTTCTCTCTGGGCCGCCTGCAGCCAGCAAGTCATCGGATGCCGTTATCTGATGTAGATGTGTTTCCTGGACCACTGACCACATCCTTCAGATGGGCCCTGGCACACAGTAGGTGCTCAATGTGCTGGCCGGGCCAATAGATAAATGAAGGAAGGAACCTGAGAGCCCTGGAACTAACATGGATGGATTCCACCAATAGTTTCTGAGCAGCTGCAATGCCCCAGGCCCTGGGTTAGGTGCTGAGGATACTGTGAGAAGAAAACAAACCAAGTTCATGCCCTCATAGTGGGCGAGATGGACAATAAATAAGAAAACCCCACTATAGTAACATAACACAACATAATAGGATACGAAACCAGGTGCTGAGAAATGTTTTATGAAGAAATGTAAAACTGGATATGTGACTTCGAGATGCTAATGCAGAAAAATGGTTGAGCAAGTCCTCTCTGAGGAGGTGACATTTGAGCAGAGGCCTGAAGAATGCATGAGAGAAGTATATTCCAGGCACAGGAGGCAACCAGTGCAAAGGCCCTGAGGTAGGAATGAGCTTGGTGTGAGCTATTTGTGACAAGGCAGCCAGGGAGGCAAGGGTTACACCAAGTTTCCCAACTTCAGCAAATATACAGAACCCTTAACAGGCGGAAACGGGGGTAGGGGTGGGGGTGGGATGAGTTCTTCACTCTCAAGCTTCTCTGGAAAAACATGATGTCAGGGACGGGCAGTAAATCTTGACTTGTCCCAGAAAACAATGGGCCCACGAAACCAGTGAAGTGTCGGGCTGAAAGTAAATGGCCAAAGGGCTGGGGCACGGGCAGATCATGTGGAATTTGTTAACAGATCTGGTTTGAAAAAGAATTTCCCAGTTAGGGGCAGAAGCTTCTGGCCAGCATCAAAAAGACGTTTATTGTGGTGCCTCCGTGCAGACATGGAAAATGAGGATTTGCTGCCTAGCTAGAAATGTGGAGGGATGTTGCCGATACGTTGTGTGAAAACAAAAAATAGGTCACGGGACAGTGTGACATATTGTGCGATCCCTTTTGGCAATTCACTCATTCATTCACTCCTTACAGGCCTACTGTGTGCTGACACAGCTGGGAGTAGGGACACTCTCAGGACCGCCCCAGCCTCCTGGAACTCCGAGCACAACGGGGAAGACAGATAATGATCAGAGATCAGTGCACAAACATTACCACAGACTGTGATCAGCACTGAGAAGAAAAGATACCTGTGCTTCAAGAATGTGCACCTACACGAAGCGATAGAAAAAGGCTGCGAGGATATACTCCAAAATGTTAAAGGGGTAGTAACATTGCAGGTGATTCTGCCTGTTTCCTTTTCTTTTGCTTGTCTGTCCGTTCTAATTTTTCTTTCTTTCTTTTTTTTTAGAATGCCATGCTTTATAATTGAGTGAATTAAAAACACAAACAAACCCACAATGAATAGAGGGGTTGGAAATCATGTGTCCAAAGATGATTTAACGCCAGGAAAGAAAGGAAGGACACGCAAGAAACTGCTCACTGTGTTGGCTTCCGGGCAGGGGAGCCAGAGGCTGGGGAGGGAAAGAGCTTCGCTTCTCACTGGACACCCTTCGAACCTTTCCGACGTGTGTGTATTCAAAAAACAATAAAAATAAAATAAGCAAAGGTATTTTTTAAATGAAACTTCAAGTTGGGTTTTATGTCTATGAAAAATGAGAAAGCAGGCAGTGGTAGGATCGCAGTCTAAATAAATACATTAACTGAGCCGAATTTCCACGAAAATCGTAGGATGCTTCTCTCTGGGTGACCTTGTTTTCTTCTTTGTATTTTTCTGTATCTCCTATATTTAAAGTTAGAAGAACAGCCCTAGCTGGTTTGGCTCAGTGGATAGAGTGTCGGCCTGCAAACCAAAGGGTCCTGGGTTCCATTCTGGACAAGGCGCGCAACTTGGATGCAGGCTCCTCCCCGACCGGGGGCCCTGGTCAGGGTTCATGCAGGAGGCAACCAATCAATGTGTTTCTCTCACATCGATGTTTTTCTCTGTCTTTCCCTCTCTCTTGCACTCTCTCTAAAAATCAATGGAAAAATATCCTCGGGTGAGAATTAACAACAACATACATACATACATACATACATAAATAAATTAGAAGAATAAAAAAGATGAGAAAAAGGCTACTGTGCTTTACAGACATTGTTTTGCTTAATCCTCTAAGACAGATATGTTTATTATCCCCTTTGACAGATGAGGAAACTGAGGCTCAGCAGGTGAAGCCACTGGCCCGAGGTCACACAGCTGCGTTTGACCCAGGTTTGTCTAGCCCAGCCCGTGGGCAAACTACGGCCCCGCGGGCCGGATCCGGCCCCGTTTGGAAATGAAATAAAAACTAGTAAAAAAAAAAAAAAAAAAGGCCCGCCTTTCATGTATGCATGTTTTTTCCTTAAATTTATATTGGACCCACAAACCCCCCCTCCAGCCTGTTTTGTCCCGGCCCCGCGGAGCCAGTTTAAGACCGATTGGGGGCCTCGAGCCAAAAAGTTTGCCCCCCCCTGTCCTACCCCAACATTCTGTCTTTTAAAAAGGAGCCCCAGGCCCCTCCAAAATGGCTTTCAAGAAAATTCCATTGCTTGGAAAAAGTTGGTGGTGGTGGGGGGGGGTTGGGGGGGGGGGGGGAAGAAAAAGCAAACAGACCAAACAAGAAATATTACATTTTTTTAACCACTTCTTCAAGCCCTCATGGGGCCTGAGACCAACTGGGCTTGGGGAGGGTTTCTTGGCAGGGACACTGTTTGCATTTTGGGTGAGGCGCTCTTCTATTGTTCTTGCCCCCTCCCCATGGCACGTTCTTGCCCTCTCCACACCAGCTGTGGCCCCCGGTCATGCGTCACCCGGACTCGCGCACCTCTCTGAGCCTTCCCCATGAGGGCTGCTGCACGGGCCCCTGCGAGGACGCTGAGCTCCGCTGTGGGCTGGCCACCCCCGCTAGGGTCCCTCCCTGTGGACCTGAGAGGCAGGTGCCTCGATGGCCTCGTTTTATGGAGAGATGAGGCTCAGAGAGGCTGGGTGACTTGCCCACGGTCACACAGCCAGAACTTGGCTCCAGGTCTTGTCCCCCCTCTGTACTGTCCCCCCTCTGGGACCAAGTAGGAGCTGTCTTGTGGGATCAGGGTGGTGGGAGGGAGAGGTGAGTGACCTGCAGCCCTAGGCTCACAGGCCAGGCGGCCACCAAGCGCCCACCACGCTCCAACCAGCTGAGGCCAGGCCTGGGGGATTGAAGCCTGAGTGTGAGCTGCGAGGCTGGGCAGGCGGCCACCACAATGGGGACCGGGAAGGCGTGCCCTCCCTCCGCCTGCCCGGCAGCTGCCCGTGGCCGCCTGCCAGGCCCTGCCTGACGTCAGGGTCTGACCAGGGACATAATGTGCTGGCGTCAGGACAGGGCTGGCTGCAGGGAGACAGGGCCGCAAGGCGGGGCGGTCAGAGGGAGACGGGCAAGGGGGGGAGAAGAGGAGAGAAAAACAGAGAGAGAGAGAGAGAGAGAGAGAGAGAGAGAGAGAGAGAGAGAGAGGAGGGAGGCAAAAGAGAAATAAAGAAACAGACAAGGAAACAGAAAACTAGGAAGAGGGGATGAAACAGTGAAAAAGAGAAATTGAGGCAGAAATTGAGAGACACAGAGATAGAGAAAACAAATAAAAAGTTGCTCAGAGAAAACCAGGAAGAGAGAAAAAGCCAGAGAGGAGAGAGAGAGGAGGAACAACAAAGGGAGAGGCGGCAAGACCATGGGTGGGGCAGGGGATTAGGTGCAAGCTTGGGAGACCCCAGGCCTGGGCCGGGATGTGGCTCTGCCCTCACGGTCTGGTGACGCATGCTCAGGTCCTCTGATTCCTGCCCTGGGCAATGGCAGCCTCACTCACGTGGGGGAGGACAGAGCACCCCCTTCATGATGGGGTTGGTGGGAGTCCATCTATATGCTGAGCTTTCGCAGAGCCTTCACATAGTAAGTGCTCAGTAAACTGGAAGTGAGCACAAGAGGGTGTTGGGTAGGGAAGGAAAGAAACGGTGCAAGTGGGCAGTGACTGTGCAAAACAGCCCTCATTCCACTCTCTTTCATGCAGCCGCTGAGTGCCCCCTCCCGCCCCTGCAGGACTCAGCATGAGGTCACCAGCACAGACCTTGGCCTGGCCTTGCCTGTCTCGGGGCCCAACCCCCCGTTTATGGGCTTAAGAAGGCCGTGATCCCAGGGCCATCGCGTCACCAAAGCCAAACAAGGCCAGGCCCTGGTCACTGCGGGCCTTCCAACCTCATCATCCCTTATCCAGCTTAATTATTAAATGACCCCGCAGGGCTGAGGAGCTGAGCCGGCTGCCCTCCAGGTGTGGACAGTTGTGCCAGCGTGTCCCCCATTAATGCGGGGACACACATTCTGGAGATGCCAGGTAGCACTTGCAAAGCATCCTTTCTTTTGCTCCCACTTTCTTCCAGGTGTCTTCATCATCCTCAACTTCCAAGTTCCCACTTATTGAGCACTTACTGTGTACAGGGCATGGTCTCAATCCTCCTGGCACCCCCAAGAGAATGAGCGTTATTATTATTCCATTTTACAGGTGAAGAAACTGAGGCTCAGATAGCAGCTCCCACTTTCTGAGTAGCTGCCTAATGCCAAGCTTGAGCCAGAAGCTTTGCTGAGAGAGAGAGAGAGAGAGAGAGAGAGAGAGAGAGAGAGAGAGAGAGAGAACCACTCCCCCAGTGGCCCACTCCTTGCCCCTGTTCTTCACCATAAGACCCCATGGTGACTCCTGATGGTTTCAGTTCTTAGGAGACACTAACTCTATTCCAGGCCCTTCTAAGTCCTTGTTTGCCTGGTATAATGATGCCTCAACACCTTTTTACATATGAAGACAGTGTTTTAATCATTGGCCGAGAAAATAGATCAGGCAAAAAAGTCACTAGGAAGATCAGAATGCCTTTAAAGAATTTGTATTTTGTTCTAGCAGCATTGAGGGACATTTGAAATTGGCCATACATGGATTCATTAAGTACCTACTATGTGCCAGGCCCTGTCCTTGGTGCAGGAGATACATCAAAGACCTGCTGGAACGTTAGGAATCACAGCCTTTGAACTGTGGACAATACACAAGAAAACAAATAGACGATCGAGATAATTTCAGAGTGTGCTGAATGTGACCGTAGGGAGAGGGAAGGGCCATTACAGAGAGGGTGGTGTCCAAGAGGGCTTTTCTGAGGAGGGGAGACCTGAAGGAACCAGCCCTGGGAAGGGGCAGGGTGAAAGATTCAAGGCAGAGGGAACAGTGTGTGCAAAGGCCCTGAGGCAGGAGCTTCCATGCAGTGTTGAGGTACAGCAAGAAGGTCTGTGGCTGGAGTCAAGTGAGGGAGGAGGAGAGGAGAAAGAAAGGTGATTGGAGAAGTAATAACTCACCAATATGCACTGCCGTGTGGCCACTGCAAGGGTTTTGCATGTACTCTGAGGAAAGTGGGAGTCATGGGAGGATTTTGAGCACAAGAGGCACAGGATCTGACTTAGGTTCAAACAGGGTCTCTTTGGATGTTATGTTCAGTTGAATAATGCCCCCCAAAGATGTCCACACCTTACTCCCCATAACCTATCAGTGTTACTTTAGATGGCAGAAGGAACTCTGCAGCTGTGACTTTAGTTAAGGATCTTGAGGTGGGAAAATTATCTTGGGTTATCTGAGTGGGCTCAATGTAATCACATGAGTCCTTCTAAGATGCTGGCAGAGGGAGGGTTGATTACAAAAAAAGGGAAAGCAGAGACAAGAAAGAGACTGACAGAAACAGACCAGAGGGATGGAGGAAGGGGCCACAAGCCAAGGAATGCAGGTGAGCCCTGGAAGCTGTAAAGGGCAACACGTTGACTTTAACCAAGTGAGACTGACTTCTGAGAATCAGACTTCTGACTTCCAGAACTATCCTATATAATAAAAGGCTAATATGCAAATTACTGAACCGCAGAACGACCGGTCGCTATGACGCCCACTGACCACCAGGGGGCAGATGCTCGACACAGGAGCTGCCCCCTGGTGGTCAGTGTGCTCCCACAGGGGGAGCTCCGCTCAGACCAGGGGTGGGCAAACTTTTTGACTTGAGGGCCACAATGGGTTCTTAAACTGGACCGGAGGGCCGGAACAAAAGCATGGATGGAGTGTTTGTGTGAACTAATATAAATTCAAAGTAAACATCATTACATAAAAGGGTATGGTCTTTTTTTTTTTTAGTTTTATTCATTTCAAACGGGCTGGATCCGGCCTGTGGGCCATAGTTTGCCCACAGCTGGCTCAGACAGAAGCCGGGCAGTGCAGCGGTGGTGGTGGGAGCCTCTCCTGCCTCTGCGGCAGCACTAAGGATGTCTGACTGCTGGGGAGCGGGCCTAAGCCATCAGTCCAACATCCCCCGAGGGCTCCCAGACTGTGAGAGGGCACAGGCCGGGCTGAGAGACAACCTCCCCCCTCTCCCTCCCTCCTCCCTCCCCCCTTCCCTTTCCCCCTCCCCTGCCGAGTGCACGAATTTCATGCACTGGGCCTCTAATAAGAAAATAAATGTATGCCCGGCCCATGTGGGTCAGTGGTTGAGAGTCGACCTATGAACTAGGAGGTTCCGGTTTGATTCCTGGTCAGGGCACATGCCC